CTTGCAAGCCAGCCTGGCCATGTGCAATGCCGTGCAGCAATTAGACCCTATGTCCAGAAAGCTATGGAGCAGCTACCAAGCAGCCGGTGCACACTGAGTCCTGGCTGCACCTTACCAAATACCACGTCACATTTGCACCTAGCAGCTTTGCAGTGCGACCCAGGAGCTGTATTTAATCAGTCCACGTGAGTGATAAACAAACGCCTACGTGGCTACTGCAGAAGCTGCTAACCTTGCAAATAAAGCCCCACTAGCCAGGTATTATTCTAAAAGTGCTCTGATAACTATCACCCAGATGTAATTATTTTCCCTTCCAAAAATACCTGACATTTTCTGTAATGTCACAGCTCTTGAGCACATAACAGAAACTGCTCAGCCCCTACAAAACTCCTGGCAAACTTTCCTTATTAGGTAATAGCTCTCTAAGAGGAAATAATAGCCAGTCGGGGCAGGACCAAAATGTCTAAGTAGGCATGATTGTTGTTCGACCATTTTAATATACATTGTACAATTGTCGTTTCTAGGCTTGTGCATCCACCACACCTGAAGAAGTGGGCTGTGCCCACGAAAGCTCACGATACCATCTACATGGTTTGTTACTCTTTAAAGGGCGACCAAACTATTTGTTGTTTTTTAAGTTTATCCTGTACAGACTAACTCGGCTACCCTCTGAAGCTTTTCACCACACCACGGTGCATCACCAGCTTAAAACAATCAGCGGTGATAATGAATAATGACAATAATAATTAGCAACTCTGCATTTAAACCCAGAAAAAACTTAAAAATCAACGACTAGTCTTGCAGCACCTTAAAGACTAACAAAACATTTAAGCTCATGATACCATCTACATGTTTTGTTAGTCTTTAAGGTACTGCAAGACTATTTGTTCGTTTTTTTAAAGTTTTTCCAGTTACAAACTAACTCGGCTCCCCTTCTGAAGCTTTTAAACCCAGAGTCATTCTATTAAAGTCAAAGCACAACCTTCAGGTTTGAGTCCCAGTTTCACTGAGATCCAAATTTGCCTGGCCAACTCCTCCATTCTGAAACAGCAGCCACCAAAAATGGGGGGACCCATGATTTTTGCTACATTTGGATCACTACAAAATTGGCTAATCAGAAAGTTCTTTCTAAGCCACAACCGTGGCATCGTGGCTGGAATCCTTGGATAGCAGTAAAACTCTATACCTTGTTCTACACTAGGGCTTTATTTTGAAATAACCCCCTCTTAGGTCAAATTAATAAGCACAGCGGCCACACTCCCAAGCCTGCTATTTTGAAATAAGGGGCCTCTAATTTCAAAATCTGTTCTCCTGCTTTTCTCGGGGAATAGCGCCAATTCCGAAATACATATTTCAAAATAGTGGTTAGGTGGACGCTCCAGTGATGCTATTTCGAAATAACAAAATAACGACTCCCAGAGTATTTTGAACTAATAACTCCCCAGTGCTTCCTGGGGCTCTAAGTCAAGGTAGCATATCAACATTAATGGAGCCTGCCTTGGGCTAATTTTGAGGCTTCCCTGTAGTGAGGACATGCTAAGTCGATTTAAGTAATTTCAAAGTAGTTTCCTAGTGTAGACATGTCCTATGATATTACAAGGATGGAGAAAGAAAGAAAGAAAGAAAGAAAGAAAGAAAGAAAGAAAGAAAGAAAGAAAGAAAGAAAGAAAGAAAGAAAGAAAGAAAGAAAGAAAGAAAGAGTAGGTGGGAGGAAGGAAATATGATAGAACATTTCAGAAAATGAACTTTTTAAAAAAAAAGGGGAGGACCATTTTTCACCCAGCTCAAACCTCCAAACAGAGGAATGGCTACAAGGACAATACCATACTGCGATTTTGTAAGAATGATGATGATGGTGGATTATTTCCATCCTAGTCTGGGGACCCTGCCCACCCTTTGTAACCACACCACAAAGCCCTAGCATTAGGAGAGTAGCTGCCTGCCAGTCCCCTCCAGGAAGGAAAGGGTTAAACGTATGAGGTCTTCAAGGGACCAGATTCATCCTCCTAAAACTCCCAGAGAAGACGCCCCCAGAGTTGGATCAGGCCCCTGGCTCTCAAGGAAATTGCTCACAGTCCCGTAGTTGTGGGCGGGGCCTTCTGCCCTCATTTCCATCAGGCCCAGAGGGGCTAAAAATGTCACCGTTGTTTTTAGGGAGTATCATCATGGCGGGGGGACTCTTGGAGACACTTGCCTCACACACAAGGTGTTCTCAGTCTCAGCTGCAATTTGCAGGCCATGTGGTGGCTCTGCACAGCAGGGGACCGCGACTGTCCTCAGCTCCCTCCCCACAGCACTTCCCCTCGCCCTGGCCAGGAAAAGGGAAGGGCCCGGAACCGGGGGGGGAGGGCTGGGCTCTCCTTGGGAGAGGGCAGCAGGGAGCTGGAGAGAAGCTCCGGGACTCGGGAGTGGTGCCCGGAGCCGCCTGGGAAGCACATGGTACTCATGGGGGAGCAGCGGCAGCGAGGCAGGGCTGAAGGGCCCCAGCAAGAGACAGAAACGGAGCCCGGCTTGGAAACCCACCGATGCTCATTGGCTTGACTACCAAGTCCCAGGCTGAAGAGCCCTGACTGGACTTCCCCGGGGACCCCAATGGGAACGGGGATTGCTCCCTTTGAACTGTCGCTTTTCAGTCCTTCCCTCAGACAGGTGTCTGAGGGCGAGTCCACACTAGACCAGGCAGGTCGGCTTAAGCTACGCAACTCCAGCTGGAATTGGCTTCCCTTAAGCCGAGCCCTGGCACCGTCCACACTACGGGCGGCCGTTTGTCGGCTTCCCTTACTCCTCGCAGAAGGAGAGCCGTGGCCGCCGGCGGGAGCTGCCCTCAGCGTTCGATTCCCAGGGCTATACCAGACCTGCTAAATCGAATGCCAGAAGCTCGACCTCTGGAACGTCCATCTTCCAGTAAGTATAGACATGCCCTGAGTGGTTATTGGGAGCTGTAGTAGTCAGGCGTCCACGGCGTGGTGACCTGACAGGCCTCCTGCTCCATCGGTGGTGATGACCTTTCGGCTGCGTGCGTGTGCCCCTCTGTGTGTCGTGCTGGCCTGCGCAAGTTGCCAACACAGCAGACTCCGAGAGAGCCCCAAAGACTGCAAATCAGCAAAAGATCGAAGGCGCCAGGCCAGGCGTATTGTCAAACGAAGGGCAGTCATCGTTGTCAGTAGACTCTACCAAAACTCTACGCATCAGTTCCCCCCAACGACGGACACGGCTCACGTAGTGCCAGGCATGAGACACTGCCCCCTCGGCTGGACAAAGACAGCTCTTGGGGGGACGCTGGTACAAACGAGGTACACATCACTCCTGACATATCGGGGTGCCACCCTCTGACCTCACCTAGCTCCACCCGTTACCTCGTACGTGGGGGCTGGATCACTATCATGCGGTCAGTTTAGGCCCATGGTGTCCGACCAGACATCCATGGTGTGTAAGCCACTATAGTGTCTACTGCAATAGCGAACTAGCCACACTCAACTGGCCAAATAGCCACATTGTTTAAGCCAACGAGTGTGGCTAGTGGCTAGCGTATTGGACACGGGTTTAGTGTCCCTGTCCTGAACCTAGGCTGGTATGTTCCTGTTATCTTGGGGGCAGGTTGATACCGAGATGTTTCTTTGTGAGTTGTTCTGTTACCACCCCTCTGGACCGTGTTTACGGCCTGTGCCTAGCACCTCTGAAGGGCTGAGTGGTTCTGTATTACCAGCTCACAGTTTAACTGCTTTATATT